AAGTTCGTCGGCAAGAGAGTTTGAAAGCACGTAAAATAGGTCAGCGTCTACTACTTTTCCCAGTTTTTTAACTACTTTTTTTATAACGAGTGAATTCTACTACCGACACAAAGCCTTACAATTCCTGGCAAACATCCCTTTTTTTTCCTGCAAGGTCCTTTACGAAAAATGTAGACACCGCTTCGTTGAAGCCTTCAGAAGCTGCAGCACCCGTCCGCTGAAGGTAATCAACACGGCTGACTACAAGGAATTCACGATCCTCTTCTCCTCCTCCTCTGAATCCTAGCACTTGATGAGACAATCTGCCAATTACCTTCTCCTTTCAGACAACGCCAGTTGCATTTCACCAATTCCAGCTTCCTCAGTTGCTATTAGAGAATGCTATGTCTTTTTATTGGCTTCCACAAACGGCCGTAGTGCCTTTTGCTCAACGTTATTTGCGATTTGCTAGCACTTTTGTAAATATAAAGTATATTATTTAGGTCCATTGAAATGCTTCTTAATTCTTCAGTACCACTGCCAACTGACCTGAAGGTTCCAGAGCTACAAAACTGTCCATCATCTAGTACGTAACTACTTTTATTGGCTTTGGGAAGATTTTTAAATTGCGCCAAGTAACTGAACTCGCAGGAGATAAGAGATTTCGGTTTAAAAAGGTTGTAGTCTGAAAAGCCGTGCCACTAACTGGCAGGCAATCTGTTGATATTTACAAGAAAATCCGGATTCAAATTGGCTTCGTTTCGAGACATTTTGTCCCAACTTTCCTGATAAGACATTGTTCACAGGGAAAATGTACAGTGGAATGAAGGAGGGGGAGGGGGAGTCTACTTGGGAGTTTTTCCAGCTCGTGGACGGGGCTTCGTAAGTGGACTCAACCGACCAACAGCATAATCATCCGGCCTAAAAGCGAAAAGGTAAAAACAATTATGACTTGTGTTCTGCTGAACGGACAGGACCATACAACTACGTGAATAATAGGTGTATCAGGTAATAGAGCAATGGTTCAAACAGTTCCCACTGAACAGTTATAAAATTAGTGTACTATCGATAAGAAATCTTCCGCGAATTGTTTCGTACGACAGTTTGAATGTCGCTCTCGATGACGTTCAGCTGGCTGAAACAACGCGGTGACTCCAGCAGGGTTATAGTGGAAGTAGACTTGCAAAGAATCTATCCATCTTTCTCACCACTCCCAAACTTGAACGCGATGTCAAGACAGAGTCAAGAAGGCCGGAGATGAGGGAGGGCGCAAACGACTGGCGCGATAAAGG